TGTAACTTTATCCCTCAAAATGTACTTGCTAACGCATGAAGTAGTCTAAACTAATGGTCCACAATCTTGGCTTAAACATCTGTGGAATACTATACAGATGTGAAAAAGATGAAATAGTGGCTTTGGGAACAAAATGGATGGTCCTCAAGGTAATTATGTTAAGTGAAACAAATCAGAAAGTGAAAGATAGCTATTGGATGGTTTCATTCATCTGAGAAGCATGAATAACCAAAAAACACACAGACAAAATACAGCAGGAATAGATCTTAAACTCAGTGAAACAATTTAATGGTTACAGAGGAAATGATGTGGGGGGTGTGAGAAGGCGGCCAGTATAGAGAAGCCAAGGGGGTATTGACATGAGTGATTTGGTGGAGGGTAAGTGGAACATGTATATATATGGTGAAATAAAATTAAAATAGAAATAGAAAAATCCATTGATTTTTTTTTTTTGTAACCACTGACTAGCTCTTCTGTGCTTCAATAGAACTCCAAATATTCATTTACGTTCTGCACTTGGTTCCCCTTTGGGAGCATTACTACTATTTTCTCTGATAATTTTTTTTCAGATTATAGTCACTCTCTGACCTAGTTAAATATTAAATTATTTCCCCCTTTTAAAGTCCTATCTCATCAATATTTCAGATCTCATTTGCTTGTTTTACTTTTTGTGTGCTGAGTACAACCTTCAATGTCTCCTTTCTCCTTTTCTAATACTTCCATTAATGAAATCTCTATTTTTCTTTCCCTTAAGCAATCTCTAGTTGTTTTCTACTATTGCTTTCTGGGTATCACTCTATTACAGAAAATGGGAAATTCACTTTGTTATATAAAATAGGAATTTAAGGTCAAGGTTAAAGCAACTACTTTAAAAATTTTACTATGAGTACTATGAAACTGATCCCAATTCAGCAGGACCCTGTTCTCTTGTTTCAGAGCCAACAAGTTCCAAATGCACAAAAACATGTTAATCCTCTGATGTGTCAATCTTACTAATGTCTCATTTGACCAAGTTAGCCAAACCCAGAGTCATTAAGGAAAGGGACCACGGAATGTCACAAATACTGACAGTCAAGATTCAATGGAGGCCATTGATGTTAAGAGTTGACCACAGTACCAAGACATTGATACGCAACTTTCCCCCACATATTATATTCATGATCAGTTCTTGCTGTTGGCGCTATTAATCCTTACTTCACAATCTTTCTGAATTATTCGTGTTTCAGCTTTAGAGCCCCTTCTCAACGTCTGGTGCAACTCTTACGATTTTAACCCAGAAAAAGAAAACTATGAGGATCTCATAATGCCTAGGGGCAGCTTATTACACAAATTGGAACAAATCTACTGCTTTAATTCCTAACAAGGAAGAAAGAAAACATGATAAAGGGATCATACGAAGATACAAAACGATACCTCCTATTTCATTTAGCATAAAGTCATCTGAAAAAATCCTAGAGGATCTACTTAGTACAGAATGCATTTCAGTTAATGTGTCTACCACATCTTAATTAAAGAAAACTGCAGTACAGAAAGTCCAGGAGGGCCATCTGAGTAGTGAGAATAAGCAGCTACATATTAGTCAGTGGGAAGGTCCTTTCTTTGCTGCCACTGCTGTATTCTCACCCACTTTTGAATAACATTGAGTCTCCAATGGGTAACAAATGCAGGAATGAATAAGCCACAGTTCTTGTCTCTGAAGAGCTTATGGTCAAATGCAGGAAACAAATAATCACATTACTTACTAGCACACAAATTTAAAAAGACATGTTATAAATAGCAGTGGGCAATATCCCCTTTTCCCCCCACCAAACTAGCTCTAGCTAACCTGAGAGAGTGGGACTAAAAAGAAGGAGATGGGGACAGAGAATATGCAGTGCACATGTACAGTGTCCCCAGTTGAGGACAACTGGGGAACAGAAGGAGAATGAAACTACCTACTGGTAAAGATAAGGATAGCAGGTGACTGAGCACTCGGTTATGCTTTGTCTGCTTGACTTGTCTAGACTGCTTATGCCTAAGAAGCAGACTAGATAAAATGTTAAGTTCTAAACTATGTTCTTTAATATCCCAATTCCTTTCCTGTTCTCATACAGATGGTATTTTCTAAAGTATGGAGGATCCTTCCCTGGAAAAGTGTATTCCATACTCAGATGAAAGTTCAGGGCGATGTCTCAGTCGAAAGGAAGAAATCTAAGAAACAAACCGACTCTGATGCCATATCATTTGCATGCCATCATGTCTCAGCTAATACTTGGTGTGATCTCCAGCTCTGCTGCCAATACGAAAGAGTTTCACAAATCAAACATTAGCAGGTAAACTCATAGAACAACCGGCCTGATCTTATTTCATAGGCATTGTAAGAAAGCCAAATTCCTCTGCAGGTAAATGGTTTTTCAGGCTTTTCTGCCCTCCCACTATTGGCACAGCCCTGCCTGATGGGTCCCTGCAGTTGTTACATTGCTGCAAGTTGTCTCCTTTGCTTCTGTGGGCCATGGGAGGAGTATTGGGACAGCCACCAAGAGAAGCAGCAGCAGAAGAGGCAGGAGAGAAAGACCCGGAGAAAAAAGCCAGAGAAGCCCAGAGTGAAGACTTGCTGGGGACTTGGAGACTACGGGACTCCTGGTCCCCAGCACGCAGCCTGCTGTGTACCTGTTTGCCATACTACATGTAAAACTCAATAAAAGCCTGAGAAAGCCACGGAGGGCTCCAAGCCTCTCCTTTACCCATCTGCTGGATCATAGACATCCTGCTCAGTGGCCCTACCTGCCACTACAATTCTTATAATATAAAACAAAATTGGCAGGAGAAAAATTAAATAAAGACAGTCTTTTTTGACTGACATTCTAGACTCAAACAAATGTTAGTAATCTAGATGTGTAGATTAATAAAATAATCTAGAAGGAGAAGACAGGATAATATAGGATCCAGAAGCATATACTTGCTTTTCTATAAAAGTTAGTACTTACCAGTGACTGCTTTGTGAACTCTTGTGGACATTCAGTAGTTGTTTTCTGAGGGGAAAAATATGCTGACGTGATGCTAAAGAAGTATTACAGAGATGGACATTGAGAGGCCCTGTGCCTGGATTTGCTTCATGGTAGAGTACTTGTAAGCACCTTTCGACATTTCCTCTTCAAACTTTAGGACACCAAGCCATTCCCTCCATAATATGTGTGTGGTATAACACATGACATTCCCAAATCAGTAATTCCATCTACAGGCTAAATGTGATACAGATGCCAGTAGGTTGAAAGATGTGAATGATACATTCAAGAGGTGGCTGTAATTAGAACTTGAAACAGGGAATAAAAAGAAAAGGAGCCCTCCTGCTAGTTTACTGTAACTTTATTTTTTTTGACTGTAATCAACATTTTCTTTTCTTTTTTTTAAATAATAAATTTTATTTTTATATTCCCCATACATTTGCAACCCCCCCATTCTGACCCCAGTCCCTCCCCTCCCGCCCCCCACTCCCCAAAAACTGTCTCTGGTTCAGTTTTTTTGTTGATTTTGATTTTCACTTTCTTATAGTTATTCATTTTCCCGAGTGCCCTCTTGTGGTCTCCTTTCAACCATGACTTTATGGATAACCAACATTCAAAATCTATTTCTCCTTTAAGAGATTGTAAAAGATATTCCCATAAACTCTTAGAGTAATCTTACAATCTGAAGACTGTATGAAAAATGCTTTTTCTACTTACATTAAAGACATAATTGCTATTAATGCCAAGTGATTGCAACCATGGGAAAATGCCAGGTAATTTTCCATATAATAGGAACTGTACATCACCCGCCTTTCCGAAGCCCAGTTAAAAGCATGCTCTAAGAGGCTTTTCTTTGACTGAGTCATTCCTTTCTAGAGAGAGGTCTGTCCATTCGGCCTTGATACCGTTTCTATTCCAAGGATTTTGTCTGTATCATCTAATGTGCACAATTTGTTGGCATGTCATTTCTCAGAGTAATTTCTTAAAATTGTTTTAAATTTCAGAATGATCCATGGTAATCTTTCATTTCTGACTTTAGTCTTTTGGATTGTACTGATTTCTATATTTAGCAAGTCTCTAATTTATGCACGACATTGTAATTTTCATAATTTTCTTCTGCTCCGGAATTTTAAAAACATATTTTGAGACTACAATCACCTCACATTTGAGGATTGCCCCATAAATCAAACTCTTTGTCACTATGTGGTCACCTGTTTATCTGCAATTTTTTTTATTCTTCTGAATATCCACTTTTCGTGATTGTAATCTAACTACTTCAACTTTCATAACTAGCATTTCATTAGTATTTTGATTTCCCTTCACTTTTAAAATGAAAAGTGGGGTCTCCCCAGTGGCGCAGTGGGTTGAGCCCCGCACTGTGGAGCTGTCCGCGGCCCCGGCTACCGGCGAGGGTCCCACATGGCGTGGCAGACGTCTCCTGTCTCGCCCGCTGCTCCCCTCAGCAGTGTATTTCAGCCAGTCTGCCTGTTCGGCTCCCTGCTCTGTCTCTGGTGAATCCTCTCACCCTCCCGCGCATCTGGCCTGTACCCCAGTTCTTGAATAACAATAAACAAATCTAAAAAAATAAATAAATGAAATGAAAAGCCCCTGCAGGTCTTCACTCTGGGCTTCTCTAGCCTCCTTCTCCCTTTCTGTCCCGGCCTCTGCTTCTCTTCGTGGATATATCAACACCCCCCCGCAGGGCACAGGAGGGAACCCCACGACTGATAACAGTGTAGCAAATGCAGGCCCCTCAGGTGGGGGATCCTAAGGGCAGGAGCACACTTTCCCCAACTAGGCCAGTTGGAAAGACCCGGCTCTCCAGCAAAGTACCCCCTGGCAGCCCCCCGCCGCATCCCAGCATGCACAGCGGAGGTCAAAGGTCGCAAGAGCAGTGACCGTTGGCACAGCCTCCCTGTGGATTCCTCCCAGAAGCTGTGGGGGGAGGGGACTGGGCGAAACATCCAGTCACTGCTTTCTCTTCTCCTGTTGAACAACTGGTCGGTCCTTCCCGAAATGGGTGTCCATTCCTCCAAAGTTGCACCCCAAGGGGGGTTCGAGCAAGGGGAGGCTTCAGGGGTTCAGAGGCCAGAGCAGGAGGACTGGCCCGAGCCATGGTCTGAGAGCAGAGCAGATCCTGAGGCGGCAACTGGGCCCCAGCAGCTCCCCGCCTCCGCGGGGCAGCCAGAGCAGGTCCTGGATTCCAGTGAGGGGCAGGAGCCCGACCAGAGCCAGGCTTTGGGGCCTTCCTCAGACCCACCCCGACAGCCGTCTGAGAGAGGGGATTCACCGGTCCCGGAAGCCCAGGGGCAGCAGCCACCCCCTGGGAGGCCCCGCTGCCACACCAACCGCCTGGAGCAGCCCCTCGCCCGGGGCTTCCAGAGGATGGGGCTGGCAGTGGGCTCGCACCCCTGGCTCTTCCTGCTGGCGCCCCTGGTGCTGACGGCTGTCCTGGGTACCGGTTGACGTACCTGCACAGGGAGACTGAAGAGAACCTGGAGGAGCAGTACACCTCTTTGGGTAGCCCCGGCAAAGCCGAGCTGCACTTCGTGCAGGCACATTTCTCCAATAACGAGTTCCACCTCTTCTCCCCGTTGTGGTCCAGTGCGGAGGTCAACTTTGCCTCCATCCTGGTGATGTCCAACACTACCAATCTGCTGGATCAAGTCATCTTCTCAGAAATGAGTCAACTGGACGAGGCAGTGCAGACGCTGACTGCGCCTTGGGAAGATGGAACCCAGGTCCTCTACCCTCAGGTGTGTGCCAGGTACCAGAGCACCTGCATGCCCTCCAACCCACTCCTGTTCATCTGGCAGAAGAATAACATCATGGACCTGAAAAGCATCACTTTCCCTATTTACAACACCTCCGCTGCTCCCCTCTACTTGGCCAACCTCTTGGGAGGAACAGTCCTAGGTCCCGGCGCAGGGACAAGCCGCTTACTCCTGTAAGCCAAGACCATGCGGCTGCAGTACTACCTGAAGACCGCAGACCCCGAGGAAAGCCCGTGCAGCCAGAAGTGGCTGCTCGAGTTCCTGGACCAAATTCACGCCATTGAAAAGTGCTTGGCCTTGAAGAACATCCAGGTGCCTGGGGCTGGGTTTAGAGGGAGGAGAAGGTGGGAGGGATATGACCTGTCCAGGAATGTGTCCAAACCTGGCTACTTGGTGGAGGCCTTGACTTGGAACCGGCTCTGCTCCACTCTCTTTGAAGTTTAAGCCAACTTTCTTCAAGGGACCCCAAGGGAAGCAGCCAGCTTAGATACTGGGTTGCATTCTAGTGGGAAACACTCATTCTACACCCCAGGGCTGGGAGTGTTCAGGGCAGACATTGATCTTCAGGGTTCCTTTCGGTTTTCTAGCCAGAATGCTCTCACTTCACGTCTGTGCTGTTTCTGGAGCCCTTGAAAAATAGCTTGGTGGCACTGGAAGAAAAAACCAACCTTTAAGCTGATGTTCCCTAGTGTTTTAGAAAAACACAACTAGCTCAGATTTCTCAAGTATTTTCTAGAATCCTGCCAGGCACCTCAGATGATGAGCAAACCTGCTAACAGTTTTGGCCAGGCCTGGTGAGAGACACCCGGTGGGAAAAGGCTTTGAATACCAGGCCTTGCTGAAATTATACTTTGTACTTAAATAGCAAAAGATACAAACCTACTCGTCATTTAGAAAAAGTCAAAATTTTGACAGTTATTAATGATTACACAGTATTAGAGAAAATTGAGAATTTGTATACTCAGGTATGTTAAACATTGGCTTATTTTTTGTTAAAGATATATTCATTTTTTATACAAGCACCAGGTATAGTCAGATGCCGGGAGGGTCAGGGAATTCACCAGAGCCAAAGCAGGGAACAGAAGAGGCAGAATGACAAAATACACTGCTGAGGGGAGCAGCGGGTGTGGCAGGAGAGGTCTGTTGCGTCAGGTGGGACCCTCACTGGTGGCCTGGGATCTAACCAGGACGGCAGAGGCTGCCGACAGCTTCACAGCCCACCATGCAACCACTGTGCCACCAAGGGAGGCCCAAACATTGGATTTTTGAAAGAAATCTTAGAAAGCATGGCATGGATTGGTGGGGAAATTTTTTTATACCTTTATTCTAAAATCATAATTCACATATTTTAATCTTTTACCAAACTATAACATGTTTCAATCAATAAGCTATAATATTTTGATACATCTTGTCACTCATACACAAATATTGATGTTAAAAGTTATTTAACTGCGTGTATTTTTACGACAGGTGGTCTAATTCACATCACTTTCTAGGAAACTTGAATTTGAGGCAAGTGCTAGGACAGTGGTCCCTTTCTTTTACACGGCATACCTTCTGATCATATTATCTGCCATCATATCATGCTACAGGTAAAAATCTCTTATTAGTTTTTAAACTTAAAAATATTTGTTGTAAGATATTTAACGTAACACATGCCATCCCCATGGCTGCATACTGTCGTGACTGTTTCCAATATCTTTTATAACCCAAAGGAGGAACTCTGTGACCAGTGAGCAGTGTCTCCTGCTGCCCTTCTCTCCTCCAGTCCTGATTAACCTTGACTCTATTCTTTCTACGAATTTGTCTTTCCTAGGTTTTCATGTCAACAAAATCATACATTTTTTTGTACTGACTTATTTCACTTATCATAATGCTTCCAGGGTTTGTCCTTGTGCACGTGTGACAACTTTATTCCACTCTATTGGCTCTGTGCTCCATTGTATGTGTGCTCCACAATTTGGTTGCCCGCAGTCTTTTGTAGGCATGGAGTATTTACTTCTCTTGACAATCCTAACACTGCAAGGAACATGGTGCGCTCATATTAAGAGAGTCATTTACAAGTGGAATTGGTGGGTTGTATGAGAATTCCATAGTCAGCTATTTGAAGAACCATCACATTGTTTTCCAGATTCTACACCATTTTCGATCCCACCAGCAGTAGATAGGGGCTCCAGTTTTCCCACAGTCTCCCTATAAACCAACACTCATTCTTTTCCCTTTTACAAATTTTACCTGTCTTAGTTGGTGTCAAGTGCTATCTCATTGTGGTGATGATTCGCATTTCTGTAAATATCTGATCACGTTGATTGTCTTTTCAATTGTTTATAGACCTCGTATATCCTCTTTGGAGAAATGTCTATCCAAGTCCTTTGCCCTTCTTATAATTGGGTTGTTTGACCTTTTGTTGTTGACTCACGTTTTTCATTAGCACTTTGCATATTTCAGTTATTAAGCCCCTTACCAGCTATATGACTAGCTGATATTTTCTCCTTCTATTTAGACTGTCTCTTCACTTTCTTGACAACGGCCTGTAACGATTAACATTTTTTTTTTATTTTTGATGAAATCCAACATATCTAATTTTTTTTTTGTACTTGTATTTTTGGTATTATATCTAAGTGTCCATTCACAAGTCCAAGGTCATGCACATTGACACTGTGTTTCCAAGTTTTATGGTTTTAACTGTTTTATTTAGATTATTGATCAATGTCTATTTCAGTTCTGTTTATGGTATTTAGTAAGGTGCCAGCATCATCCTTGTGTATGTGAAGATACAGTTTTCCAAAACCATTTATTGAAGAGACCTTTCCAGTTTGTTAGACTTACCACACTTGTCAATCAACTGGCTATATTTATGGATTATTTCTGGACTCCCTATTCTATTCTGTAAGTCTGTATGTTTATTTGCATGCTAGTACCACATTGTTTTCATTACAGTACCACTTTCTAAGTTTTGAAATCTGGAAATCTCAGTCCTGCAACTTTTTCTTCTTTTTCGAGATTGTTTTGGATATCCTGGGCTCTTTGCAATTTCAAGTGAATTTGAGGGTTGGCTCTTCCATTTCTGAAAAAGAAAAAAGGAAATTGCAATTTCAATAAATATTGAGTTGGATCAGTAGATTGCTAGGTGATTGACATTTTAACAATATTAATCCTTCACATCAACTAAGGATGTTTTTTCTATTAAATTAGGTTTTTTTTTTTAGTTTCTTTCACCAGTGTTTTCTAATTTTCAGTGTATACATCTTTTACCTCTTGGTCAAATGTAATCTTAAGAATTTTCTTCTTATAGATGCTATTTCAATAGAATTGCTTTCTTAGTTTCCTTTTGCAATTTCTTTATGCACATAAATAGAAACACAGCTGATTTTTGTAAGTTGTTCTTGTATCTTGTAGCTTTGTTGAATTTTTTGTAACTAGAAGTTTTCTTGTGGATGTATTAGAATTTTCATATCTGTGATTATGTACTCTGTGAAACAAGATACTTTTACTTTACTTCCTTTCCAGCTTGGATTCTTTTATTCATTCCTTGACTAATGGCCCTGGCGTGCAATTCCAGCACAATGTTAAATCTGGTCAGCATCTCTAACTTTCACTTGTTTGTGTTGTGTGCGTGTTGGTTGGTTGGTTTTTTAGATTTTCAGCTCCAGAATTTGTTTTGTTCCTCTTAAGTTTTTCTATGTATATTATTTTTCATTCATATATTGTGTTCCCTGTCAGTGTTCTCCTTTCATATAAGGACTTGAGCAGTATTTCCCAATTAGGTTGTAGTACCAGTAAAAGCTTGTTTTTTATTGAAAATGACCACCACAATAAACCCGAGAATATGTTTCCTATGAAATCATGTAAATAACTTTGATTTTTTTTGTGTATTTTGATTATTAATTTGAAGTAATTTAATAATTTGTTAATATTACGGTACATCTTTGGTCTTTAATGTTACTCTTTTTACTTCCTGTTTAATCCCTTTTTAGGAAAGTATGGGTTAGAAGATTTTACATAAAAACAATAGGTTTTGATATTCTTTCTATTTGGCTATTTACTATTTGCCTGAAAATAAATCTTTTATTTTTATAGGCCTGTAAAGAAACATCTAATGAGAAGAAGGTATAGTAAAGAATAAATAATGACAAAAATTACTCTGCATTAAAAATGCATTTTAAAAGCTATAAGGAAAAATAAATTCTTACTTCATTGTAAAAACGTTTACTTTAAGGGCCTCCCCTGGTCGCAGCGGTTGTGCGCTGGGCTCCAAAGCTGCCCGCAGCCTCTGAAGCGCTGGCTCCATCCCAGGCTGCCACTGAGAGTCCCACATGGCACGCAGACCTCTCCTGCTGCGCCCACTGTTCCCCTCAGCAGTGTATTTCCTCCCCTGGCTGTTCTGTTCCCTGCTCTGGCTCTGGTGAATTCTCTCGCCCTCCCGCACTTCTGACTGTACCCAGTGCTTGTATAAATAAATAAATAAATCTTTTAAAAATGTTTACTTTAAAAATAATTTATAAATAATAATTATCTATAAAGGCATCCTTTTCATAAAAGTCAGTTCCTTTAAGGAGTACCTGTGTTTTTGCTATTGTAAAGGTGAATATTTATCACCTCTGTGCACTTAGCATATTTATCGATAGTTACCGGACATTCTGAAATATTTTTTATTTCTATATCAAGCAGGAAATCAATCCTATGGATGATTCTGATGACATAACTCAGATATCTGAAATATACTCAACGCGTTGTGACTCGCTTTACTCTGAACATGAGAATTGTAGGTTGTTAATGGAACTTTGCATAAATTGTAAAGGAAGGAGCATTGTTTAATTATAAAGTCTTAATACATATACTATAGCATCACATGCACACTTTGTCTAGTACTGCACTCTAGAGGATAGATCTGTTCTCATGTTATTCATCTCAGAAATGTTTTATATTGAGATGAACTGAGAGCTATTGTTTACTTCCAGCCAAAGAGCTATGAGAATCCCCACTGTACTTTTTGTTGACTCTGCTATCTCCTAGGCCTTTCATCGAAGTCAGATTCCCATTATTTTCCTCCTAGAATACTGAAATATCCTCAGATCTGTTTTCCCTGGCATTATACCTCTGGAAACCTTGTTCTGTACTGCAACTATAATTGTTTTATATATATATATATTTTATATTCAGATTTCATAATGTTACCCCTTCCTTAAAATCCAGCTGGTATCTCTCAATGCTCTAAGGTTAAAGGCTACCATCCACTAGTTGCATTTTGTGTTAATCCATGTCATTTTCTCATCTGTGTCTCAGTGACTGAGTAGTCTTTCCTACAATAAGACTTTTTGTTTTCAACAGCTTTAGTTAGGTAAACCACACCTACAGAAAATGTGTAATTTAATAGTTTTGACATATGTATACAAAGATGAAACCATCCTCACAATGAAGATAGTTGACTCATCTACCATCCCTCAAAGTCTCCTCAAGCCCCTTTATAGTCCCTTCTTAAGAAACTACCAAATTGTTTTCTAAAGGGCTTGTACCATTTTCCATTCCCACCCAAAGCTTATGAAAGTTCTAGTTCCTCCATATCTTCAACAATACTCAGTGTTGGCAGGTTTGTTTGGTTTATTTTTAAGACTTATTTATTTATACAAGAACTGGGGTACAGTCAGAGGCACAGGAGGGTGAGAGGATACACCACAGACAGCAGGGAGCAGAACAGGCAGACAGACTGAAGACATTGCTGAGGGGAGCAGCGGACGAGGCAGGCGAGGTCTGCCATGCCATGTGGGAATCTTCCTGGCTGGCCGGGAATTGAACCCATGCTGCAGAGGCTGCGGACAGCTTCACAGTGGGGTGCTCAACCTGCTGCGCCACCTTGGAGGCCCTGTTGTCAGTTTTTTAATGTTACCATTCTGATAGGTGTCCAAATATTTATTTTATTATGGTTTTAGTATGCATTTCCCAAATAACTAATACTATTGATCATTTTTCTATGTGCTTATTTACCATCTGCATATCTTCTTTAACTGTGTCTAAATCTTTAATCATTTAAAAATTATGTTGTGTGTTTTATTAGTTGAGTTTTGAGAGTTCCTTGCATTTTCAAAATATAGTTTCTTGATCAGCTCTATTTTTACAAGAATTTTCTTCCAGTCTGTGACTTGCCTTTTCATTTTCTTAACACTGTCTTTTTTATAATCTAAACTGTATTTAATAATATAACATTTTTAGTAAGTCAGCAACAAACAGACTTTAAGTCCAAGACATAGCTGTTTTGTGATAGTAACAAATGATAGAAGTAAAAGTCAAAAAGACTAGAGAAAGAACAGCAAAGAGAAATAAGGCAGCAAGGAAGAATGGGAAAGAAGGGCAGTCAGAGAAAAAGACAAAGATACATTAGAGACATGAATCATTTATTTTTTATATTTATTCATTTTTATGTTTGTTTTTTTAATTTTATATGTTTTGCCACCATTTTTCATTTTTGTACAATGCATGCATTTTCATCTTGGTTATACTCCCCATACAATTACCACCACCCTTGTTTTGATCCTACTCCCTTCTCCCCCTCCCTGTAGTATGTCTCTGCTTTATAGTTGCTTGTTGATTTTGATTTTCACTTTATTATAAATTAGTCATTTTCCTGATCCCTTATTTAGGTTTTCTAATTATTGCTATGAGTGAGACCATCCGGTATTTTTCTTTTTCTTTCTGACTTATTTCGCTGAGCACGATCATTTCCAGCTGCATCCATGTTGCTGCAAATTGCATGAGTTTATCTTTTTGATTGCTGAGCAATATTCCATGGTGTATATGTACCACAGCTCCTTGATCCAGTCATCTATTTTGGGGGATTTGAGTTGTTTCCATAGTTTAGCTATTGTAAATAATGCTGCTATAAACATAGGGGTGCAGGTGTCCTTTGGAATTAATGTTTCTGTGTCCTTCGTGTAAATACCTTAGTAGTGGACTTGCTGGATCATATGGAACCTCCATCTTTAGCGGATTGAGGAACCTGTACACAGCTCTCCATAGTGGTTGGGCCATGTTGCATGCCCACAAGCAGTGCAGGAGAGTTCCTTTTTCTCCACATTCTCACCAACATTTGTTGTTGCTAGATTTTTAATATGTGCCATTCTCACTGGTGTAAGATGG